GTCAACGCCCCGACTGTAGACCTCTTGGGGTCTGGACCTCTTGGGGTCTGGACCTCTTGGGGTCTGGACCTCGGCTAAATTGATCAAAAGGAGGAGGAGGAGGAGGAGGAGGAGGAGGAGGAGGAGGAGGAGGAGGAGGGGGAAGGCGCGCCTGCCAGGGCTCGACTCGTCCTCGCCCGTGCCTGCGGCCACCTGTCGCAGCCCGGGCGGCTTCGCGCGCGGCCTGCCCGCCGAGAGCCCACGCCGTCGGAGGCCCCCGCCGCCATGGCCGTGGAGGCGCCGCGGGCCTGCGCCGCCGCGGCGCTGCTGCCCGTGGCCTTGGCCGCGGCCTCGGGAACGCAACCACGACTGGAGCCCCAACCTCGGAAAGTCATGGAGAACCCCAGACTTATGATGTTCCAACCTACTTCAGCCTTGGTCACCAGGAAGACTCTCGAGTACCAGAAAGAGTACCGAAACTCGCGGGTTTTCACTTGTCAGGCCCTGGGAGACACTCTTTCGACACTTTTCCGGGTGCTCGAAATTATTTCTGGGATGTGGTCCTCAAGTACGATGAGGCGTTGCTGCCCGTTGCCTTGGCCGCGGCCTCGGGAATCGACTACACGTGAGAGCGACCTTTCGCCGGAGTGACCTTTGGTGCGGGCACAATTTACCAGCCTCGAACGTATCCCTATCCCCGAGATTGACACGCCAACAGGCGATGACAATCTTAGGGATCCGCCCTCAGAAAATAAGGGAATCCCTGAGATTGGCATCGTGATGAGGAGGTGCCCAGCACAGGGATAGGGATATGTTCCAGGCTGGTAAACAATTGGGGTCCCCCGATCACCGATTGCGATGCGACAGTCGCGTCTTGCGCGCCTGAGTTTGGTCCCCCCGCGGCCCCCCAAAAGCCGCGCACCAAATAGGTCACTCTTACCCAGGGTCACTCTTGCGTGTAGCCGACGGGAACGCAACCACGACTGGAGCCCCAACCTCGGAAAGTCATGGAGAACCCCAGACCCCCTCGCGCTGCGCAAAAAATCACGACGGGAGGTGTTTGGCCATTTTCAGCCTCCGGGGGCCCTTCTCAGGCCTCGGGGCCGTCAAAAAACGACTCAGGATGAAACATCGGTTTCGGGGAAGGGGTCCAGACTTCTGGGGGTCGACGCTGGGAAAAATCACGACGTCGGGAGTCTGGGCTTGGAAAGTCATTGAGACCCCCCCTTTCGGCAAAAGGTCAAGACCTCCCGCACCGGGAAGTGTTATTCCAGCGCCTTGAGGATGATGATGATGATGATGATGATGATGATGATGACGATGATGATGATGATGGTGATGGTGATGGTGATGGTGATGGTGATGATGATGATGATGATGATGATGATGTTGATGATGTTGATGATGATAGTGATGGTGATGGTGATGGTGATGGTGATGGTGATGGTGATGGTAATGGTGATGATGATGATGATGACGATGATGATGGTGATGATGGTGGTGATGATGGTGGTGATGATGCTGATGCTGATGCTGATGCTGATGCTGATGCTGATGCTGATGCTGAGTATGATGCTGATGCTGATGCTGAGGACGAGGATGAGGATGAGGATGAGGATGAGGATGATGTGATGGGGGAGGTGGATAAGGATTGTTTTGTTATGCTGTTTGGCGCGGTGTTAAAGTTATCGTTCAGCTCATATCCCCCCGTGGAAATTATTTATTCGGTGCGGTGCAACTGATAACACAGGGGAGGTTCTTAATTACATGTTGTCTCAGCGTGTCTCGAAGAAGAAGCAGCTGCATAAACAAAATCAGTTGGCGCTCCGCGCGGCTTTCTTGGATCGGTGCTGGGCTCCCCTGGCGGCGCCTCTGGCGCCGCCCCTGGCGCGCTCCGCGCGCCGGGGAGGGCGGTCCAGCGCGGATCCAAGAAATCCGCGCGGATCTCCAACAGTTTACGTTTATGTGTTTTTTGTTGTTTCTCTAAAGTCGCTCCGCCTGTTCTGGCCCACCACGTTCGGCGCCACAGGCTACCCACTTCCCTGTCCCCCAGCGTGAACGTCCCGAGCTTTTTCCCAGCCTCCCGCCCCGCGGAGCGGAGCAACACTCGATTCGCTTGCAGGGCACAGCGTGTCGCTGGGGCAGCCGCCGCGACACGCTGATCAAAAGCTCCCCACCGCAGACCCCACCTTTCTGCGGAACTTTTTTCGAGCCGGATCGATCCGGGATGGTCCCGAGGCCCGAAACCGAGCGAAAACGCCCGGTGTGAAGAAAATGCAACCCAGAGATCCGAAGTCGTGTTTTTCTCCATGCGGGCCGCCGGAAGTCTTGACCCGTTTTCCAGGACCAGTTCTTCGTCCCGAGTCGATCTTGGACGGCTCCGAGGCCCAGCGAGGGCTCCTGGACGCCGAACCCTGTGAAAAACCCTTCGCGCTCGATTTTGTCTCCGCGCGCCCGGATCTCTGGGGACGCCCCCTCCTCCTCCCTCCTCCTCCTCCTCCTTCTCCTCCTCCTCCTCCTCCTCCTCCTCCTCCTCCTCCTCCTCCTCCTCCTCCTCCTCCTCCCCCTGCTCCTCCTCCTCCTCCCGGATCGGAAGGCAGTCGCCCTGGCCGCGGCCGCGGGCGCGGCCCTCTGGCGGGAGGAGCGGCCACCGGCCGGCTCGCGCCCGGCAGCCGCCGGGGGGCGGCGCGCGGTGCCCACGGTGGACCGCCGCGCCGCCGCCGGCGAGCTCGCCCCCGCGGGCCTCGGCGGCCGCGGGCGGGAGGCGCGCCGCGTGGGAGCTGTCTCTTGTTTTTGGCTCCAGCAAGCCTTGCCGAAGTCGATGAATGGAGAGGGAGCATGCTGCCAAATAATTCCCAGTTGTCTTAAAAAGTTGCAAACATGCTCTGAATGTCCACAACCATGCCGGAAACTTGTTTTGAACATGTTTTACACATGCTCTACACGCATTTTTCATTCAATGATGGGATTGTTAGGGTGTACATCGTCATGGCATCCACAAGGCAAGTCTACTTGCAGGGACGGGGGGGGGGGCGGGCGGGCTGGAGCCCGAAGTGGGCCGCCAACGATTGGCACGTGCGCAAACCGCGCAGGTCGAAAGGCACTTGCACGCCAGTGTTCCTCTGAAGAACGGCGAGGGGGGGGGGGGGGGGGGCGGCGAACGCCATGCAAGGAAATTTGCCCGATTTTTTCTTTTAGGACAGAAAATCTGACCCAGACCCCATCGGGTCGTGAACAAACATCGCGGCGGGAGGTTCTTCGCTATTTTCAGCCTCCGGAGGGCCCTCGCCGGGCCCCGGGACCGAAACAAAAACGGCTCAGGAGGAAAACTTGGTCCTGGGGAAAAGGTCGGGGCCTCAGGCTGTGGACGTCATGACAACGACGTCGGGGGTCCGGGCACTTCAGAACAGGTCCCGACGCCGCTGCTCGTCCTGGGCAGCCCTCGCCGCGACGGCCAGATTCCCCCCGAAATGCTGGTCAGAATGCGCTCTGGGAAAGGGCCAGGGAGTCGCGGTATCAGTCAAGGGAGGAAAAGCCACCCGGACCGGCGGACAATTGGCGTTTACTGAACGGCCCTGGGCGTTTACTGAACAGCCCGGGCCTGTTTGATGCCTTCTTCGGGCGCGTTTACTAAACGGCTTCGCGTGTCGGGGTGGTTATGATGGGGGCGGGATTCTCCGACTTCTAATCCGTGCCTTTTCGCCCACCCCCCCCCCGGCCGCGAGCCCTCGATCGTCGTGGGCGAGATCGCAGGATGCGGAAGGTGTCTCTCGCCACCGTCGGCCTCGGGCCACGCGGCCGTCCAACAGGAACGATGAAGGAGGAGAAGCCGGTCCCCGGGAAGGGGTCGGAACCTCGGCCGGGGTCCAGGCTGCGGAAGACAAGCACGGCGTGGGAGGCAGGCGGGTCCAGAGGGAAACGGGTCCTGCAGGCGTTTCGCCGCGGGCCCCCCAAGGGGGCCCCTCCCCGAGCCCCCGGGGCCTCTGGAAGCCGCTAGCGGCTCAGGACGAGACTTGCTGGCCCCGGGGAAACAGGCCACCCTGGGGTCAGGACCCGTTCTCCCCGTAGGACCCGCCTCCCTCGTGCCCAGCAGCAGGGCTCGAGCTAGACGGTGTTTTGGCAATTTCGTGGACCGTTTTCGTTTTGACCTCGTTTTGCAGCAAGTGTGGAACGAGGACAGCACCAGGGATGACGAACACAAAACGAAAACGGCAAACACTGTTTAACTCGAGCCCTGCCCAGCAGGCCGGCGAGGTGCTCTGCGCGGACGCGCCCGCGGGCGACCCGCGCCTCGTCGGCGAGGAGGCTGTGCCGGCACGCGCGCAGGAGGGCGCCGGCGCGCCCCGCGGTGAGCGGGCGGCGCCGCCGGGGTGGTGCGGCTCAGAGGGGCCCCCGGCGGTCTGCAGCGGGGGCCTCGCCGGGAGCCCCGGGAACGGTTCCGGGCGAGCAGGGAGGCGCCGCGCAGCACAGGAGGCGCACGGCGGGTGCCAGGGCACCGACCCCATGTCGCAGGTCTGCTGGGAGGCCGTCTCGACGGCCGTCTGGTTCAGCCTCGGCGCCGCCTCTTTCCACCTCGCCAGGCTTGCTGCGGCACGGGCATCACTGCAGAATCACATGGCCAATGTGTTTATGTAGTGCTTGTCCCTGCGAGCTCGAAGAATTAGCTCAGACGCCACAGCGCACGGCTTCGTCAGGAGCGTGTGCAGTGGTGACTCTCGCATGCATGACAGCGCAAAGCGGGTGCGGCGCGCCACCTAGCTCATGCAAGTGAGCTCTGAATTTGTCAAACAGCCACGTGGTCAAATCTTATTCCCTCTATAGTTTCGTTTCGTTTCCTTCAAATCGAACTATAGAGATCTTCCGTACTAGATATGGGCGCCTTCTGCCAACGTTGCTGCTATTGTCATCGTCACAGCATAACGAAGGGAAAGTATTGGATGAAGCAGGCGATGCGGTTTGTGGACGGTGCGGGACGCTTCCGTTGCAGCCCCCACACCCCGCAAGAAGCGAGATGTTTCCGCAGTATGTGTGGCCCAAATCTCGGCTGACTGCGCGCGCCCGTCAGGCCGAAAGAGCTGCCCACAATCAGTGAGCTTGCTCGGCCTGCTCCGCTGCCATGTCGCCCCAGGTGGGCTTCATCGGCCTGGGCGCCATGGGTGAGGGCATGGCTTGCAGCGTGCTTAAGAAAGGCTTCCCTCTGAAGGTTTTCGACATGCGCGCCGAGGCCGTCGAGAAGCTTGCAAAGCTCGGCGCCACGCGAGCAGGGACGGTGCGAGAGTGCGCAGAGGGCGTCGACGTGCTGGTCATTGCCGTGGTGAATTCTCAGCAGGTGGCGTCTGTGCTACTTGACGAGGCCGTGGGCGCTGTCAGCGGAGGGTTCCGCGGCACCTGCGTGGTGTGTGCGACGATCTCGGCCGCGTTCGCAGAGGAGACGGCCGCGAAGCTGGAGAAGCTGGGGGCCCGATACGTGGACGCACCAATGTCTGGCGGCACCATCAGGGCCGCCGCTGGCCAGCTCACCTTCATGGTGGGAGCAGAGGATGCTGCGCTGCAGAGCGCCCGGCCCGTGTTGGAGGCGATGGGCAAGGTCTACCTCGTCGGCTCCAAGGCAGGCCAGGGCTCCAGCATGAAGATGGTAAATCAGCTGCTCGCCGGATCTCACATAGCAGTGGCCGCCGAGGCCATGGCCCTCAGCGCCAAGGCCGGCCTGAACACGAGGCAGGTCTTCGAGATTATCACTGCTGCCGCCGGCAATTCCTTCATGTTCGAGAACAGGGTGCCGCACATGCTGGACGACGATCCCACGCCGCATTCGGCCGTGGACATCTGGACGAAGGACTTCGGCATCGTCCTGGACGAGTCCAAGCGTCTGGGCTCCCCCTGCCCCATGGCGGCGCAGGCGATGCAACAGTTCGTGGCCGCCAAAGGGCTGGGCCTCGGGTCCAGCGACGACAGCTTCGTCGTTAAGGTCTACGAGCGCTTGAGCGGGGCCAAGGTGGCACGGCCGCGCGAGGTGGAGGGGGGCGAGCCCTCGAAGAGGCCAAGGGGCTCCTGATCGTTTTCTTTGCGCGGCAGTATTAGTGTGACAAGGTGTCGGAGGACAGCGCAAGTGAGCGATGGCACGAGCGTGCTGGACCCCCGTCCGTCAGCCCATCCAGAACCAATTCCTGGCCGAGCCCCCTGAATAGGTGCATATTTATTGATAGAATGCACAGGCGTACGTACACACACACACACACACACACACACACCTGACAATGTAACAGATAAAGGTCTGTACACAGATGTAGTCATCTGCCGTGAGAAGGGAAGCGACGGGGTATCAGCAAGCACAGGGAAAAGGGAGAGAGGTTCCAGTCACACCAAGGGAAAGGTAAGCCCAATCAGCCCCTCCCGATCGGCCAGGGTTGGGGCCATCTCCGTAGCTTCCTGGGGTTACCTCGGAGCTTCCTTGGAGGGCGCTTCAGGGCGGCTTTGGGTTTTCATCACACAGCGGCAAACTGAGCTATCGTAACTCGGATGCCCATCCTCCCTTGTCCTTCCTCCTCGTCCTCCTCCTCCTCCTCCTACTACTACTACTCCTCCTCTTCCTCCTCCTCCTCCTCATCCTCCTTCTCCTCCTCACACCTTCTCCTTCTTCCTCTGCGTTCTGTTTTATCCTCCCTCGTCCTCGTCCTTATCCTCCATCTCCCCCTCCACCTCCATCTTCCCATCCATCTCATCCCATTATCGCGCGCGGAAGACAAGGAGGCGGAGGAAGAGAATGGAGGAGGAATGAGAAGGAGGATGAGGAGAAGTGAGAGGGAAACAGGATAAGGGAGGAGGAGGAGGGAAGGGAGCGATGAGGGAATGCGGATGGATGGTGGAGGGAGCCAAGACGGGAGGGACCGAGAAGGGTTAGAGGAGGAGGAGGGAGAAGGAGGGGAAGGACTGAGACCATTGCTAGCATCTCCCAATCATGCTAGCTGATCATGGTTCCCCTAACTCGTCCCGTGGCGTGGGTTCTCTTGCTTGGTCACGGCGGGAGGAAGGGAAACTGGGGACAAAAGAGGAGGAGGAGGGTGAAGGGGAAGCCCGCGAGGATGAGGAGGAGGGGAAGGAATGAAGAGGGGAGTGGATGGAGGCAGAGCGAGGATGAGGAGGAGGAGGAGGAGGAGGAGGAGGAGGATGAGGAGGAGGGAGCAGGGGGAGGAATACGAGGAGGGGCAGGAGGGATGATTTGCAGCAGGATGGGGAGGGCGACCAGGAGGAGTATGAGGAGGGGAAGGACGACGAGGACGTGGGGGAGGGGGACGGCAAAGGGCATGACAGCGGAGGAGGAGTCCGGGGAGCAGGAGAAATGCCGGACAAGTGGGAGAAGAAAGATGTTTCGATTGGGACAAAGGATGAGGGGGGCGAGGAGGAAGAGAAGGAGGAGGAGGAGGACGAAGAAGGGTAATGACGGAGACCGAAGAGGAGGAGGAGGAGGAGAAGGAGGAGGAGGAGGAAAAGGAAAAGGAAAGGAGGAGAAGGAGGACGAGGAGGAGGAGGAAGAAGGGTAATATCAGAGACCGAGGAGGAGGAGGAGGAGGAGGGCCAGTGTAAACCCAAGAGTCATCAACATTGTAATAACCCCTCTCTCCAAGCTTCCTCCAAACAGGCGCCTACAACGGTTCATTCCCACTAATGGAACTGCCTCGTTGGAAGACAACCATTTGAAGTTCTTGAAGCATGCCAAAACATTGTTCTCGGGATTACAACGCCACGGATCAACCTGACTGTTGCGTTGCGTCTTGATCCAGAATCACGCCAGAACGCCATGCCTGGGACTTCAACACGGCGAGCCTACGTAACTGTTGCACCCTCACTTCCTTGAATCTTTCCTAGACACCACCTCTGGTACGCTGATCATTGTAATCCGTGAGAATCTTCGATGTTGCAGCAATGTGCGCGGCGCTCAGGCGAGAGCCACATTTTGAAAAGGAACCGCCCTCAATCCGTGAAACTCTTGCCTTTTGTTTAGACGAATGCACGCGGCGCTAAAGCGAGAGCCACATGTTGAAAACGGCCCGTCCTCAATCCGTGAAACCCTTGCAAGCTGCAAGCTTTCAAAACGAATGTGCGCGGCGCTACGGCGAGAGCCACATTTTGAAAACGACCCGCCCGTCATGTGTGAAACAGCTTCAGGGTCACAAGTGGTGAGGAAGTCTCAGACGAAACGCCCGGCCCGCCCTAAAAACAGGCCTCGGGGTGCGACAGGGAGAAGCTATATGGAAGGAAACGAAATGGAAAGAGAAGAGGAGGGATGGGGCCAGAGTGGCTCACAGAGAAGGTGCTGCCAGTATTGAGCCTGTGCCTTGCAGAGGGATCTCTTCTTAGCCCCCTCCCCGACAGGAGCACGAGCGTCCCCCCTCCCCCCCAGGGCTTCGCAGGCCACGTGGCATCGGACAGGCGACCGCCACGCCCGCGAGCGCCGAGCCGCTCCCGCTCACGGCCCGCCAGCTCCGCCACCCGGCGGGCCGCGGCCGGCCCCCTCCCCCAGAGGCTCACCAACGTTACTTTTTAACAGTGGATGTTGTGCAACATGTTCATACACCGGTAAACTTGCAGCATTTTGATCACCCACCGGTAAAATGTAACAGTGGATGCTGTCATCCATCGGTAATTCAACCACATCCACCGGAAAACCAACATCCACCGGTATTCCAGCATCCGGCTCCGCTCCGGCTCCCGCCGCTCTCATGAGACCGCGGCCGCCCCGGCTCCGACCTGGCCGGCGCCCCCGCGGCCGCGCGGGCGCTCCGGGACCCCGCGCCTCCTCGTCGCCGCGCGGGGGCTCGGCCGCCCGCGCGGACCCGGGCCAGACCTCGGGGCACGCGCGGGCCCGCCCCCCAGCGGCGCCAGGCAGCCTCTCCGCGCGCTCGCGCCCGCGCGACGCCCGCAATGGACCGCCGCCGCGGCGCTGCCCGCGCGCGCGGCGGCCCGTCGCTGCGCCGCCCGGGCGCCGCCCCGGGCGGCTGCGCCCGGCGGGCCCGGCCGCGCGCGGCGGGCCCGCGGAGGCCTCGGCGCCGCGCGGCGCGGCGGGCCGCCCCCGCGGGCGGGGCCGCGGCGGCGGGGCGGCATCGGCAGCCCGCCGAGCGGGGCGGGGGGGGGCTCTCCTCCCAGACCCCCTTCGGGTCATGAAATAATCACGGCGGGAATCTTATTACCAGCCCCAGCCTGGAACATATCCCTATCCCTATGCTGGGCACCTCCTCATCACGATGCCAATCTTAGGGATTTCCTTATTCCCAACCCTCCTGCGTTGGGTTCTCGTTTTGAATAGAGCACTGCTCGCGCGTCTCCTTCCCACCCCCTTCCCGTCCCTCTCTTCCCCCCTGCCTTTCGCCTCGCTCGTCGCTGCGTGCCTGCTGGGGGGCTGCGATCTGTGAAACTGTCGCCACTTTCGCGGCCTGCTGGGGGGCCCAGCACAGTGGGTACCCACGGCGGACTCAAATGGGACCTCGCCATCCCTGGGGGGCTGCGATCTGTGAAACTGTCGCCAATTTCGCGGCCTGCTGTGGGGCCCAGCACACTGGGTACCCACGGCGGACTCAAATGGGACCTCGCCATCCCTGGGGGGCTGCGATCTGTGAAACTGTCGCCACTTTCGAGGCCTGCTGGGGGGCCCAGCACAGTGGGTACCCACGGCGGACTCAAATGGGACCTCGCCATCCCTGGGGGGCTGCGATCAGTGAAACTGGTGCCATTTTCGAGGCCTGCTGGGGGGCCCAGCACAGTGGGTACCCACGGCGGACTCAAATGGGACCTCGCCATCACTGGGGGGCTGCGATCTGTGAAATTGTCGCCACTTTCGCGGCCTGCTGGGGGGCCCAGCACATTGGGTACCCACGGCGGACTCAAATGGGACCTCGCCATCCCTGGGCGGCTGCGATCTGTGAAATTGTCGCCACTTTCGAGGCCTGCTTTCGGGGCCCAGCACAGTGGGTACCCACGGCGGATTCAAATGGGACCTCGCCATCCCTGGGGAGCTGCGATCAGTGAAACTGTCGCCACTTTCGAGGCCTGCTGGGGGGCCCAGCACAGTGGGTACCCACGGCGGATTCAAATGTGATCTCGCCAGTCCTGGGGGGCTGCGATCTGTGAAATTGTCGCCACCTTCGAGGCCTGCTGGGGTGCCCAGCACATTGGGTACCCACGGCGGACTCAAATGGGACCTCGCCATCCCTGGGGGGCTGCGATCAGTGAAACTGTCGCCACTTTCGAGGCCTGCTGGGGGGCCCAGCACAGTGGGTCGGAATGGGACCTCGCCATCCCTGGGGGGCTGCGATCTGTGAAACTGTCGCCACCTGCTGGGGGCAGTGGGTACCCACGGCGGATTCAAATGGGACCTCGCCATCCCTGGGGGGCTGCGATCTGTGAAACTGTCCACTTTCGAGGCCTGCTGGGGGGCCAGCACAGTGGGTACCCACGGCGGACTCAAATGGGACCTCGCCATCCCTGGGGGGCTGCGATCAGTGAAACTGTCGCCACTTTCGAGGCCTGCTGGGGGGCCCAGCACAGTGGGTACCCACGGCGGACTCAAATGGGACCTCGCCATCCCTGGGGGGCTGCGATCTGTGAAACCGTCGCCACTTTCGAGGGCTGCTGAGGGGCCCAGCACAGTGGGTACCCACGGCGGATTCAAATGGGACCTCGCCATCCCTGGGCGGCTGCGATCTGTGAAATTGTTGCCACTTTCGAGGGCTGCTGAGGGGCCCAGCACAGTGGGTACCCACGGCGGACTCAAATGTGACCTCGCCATTCCTGGGGGGCTGCGATCTGTGAAACTGTCGCCACTTTCGAGGCCTGGTGGGGGGCCCAGCACAGTGGGTACCCACCGCAGATTCAAATTAGACCTCGCCATCCCTGGTGGGCTGCGATCTGTGAAACTGTCGCCACTTTCGAGGCCTGCTGGGGGCCCCAGCGCAGTACCCACCGCAGATTCAAATGAGACCTCGCCATCCCTGGGGGGCTGCGATCTGTGAAACTGTCGCCACTTTCGAGGCCTGCTTTCGGGGCCCAGCACAGTGGGTACCCACGGCAGATTCAAATTAGACCTCGCCATCCCTGGGGGGCTGCCATCTGTGAAACTGTCGCCACTTTCGAGGCCTGCTGGGGGGCCCAGCGCAGTGGGTACCCACCGCAGATTCAAATTAGACCTCGCCATCCCTGGTGGGCTGCGATCTGTGAAATTGTCGCCACTTTAGAGGCCTGCTTGCGGGGCCCAGCACAGTGGGTACCCACACGCAGATTCAAATTAGACCTCGCCATCCCTGGGGGTCTGCGACCTGTGAAATTGTCGCCACTTTCGAGGATTGCTGGGGGGCCCAGCACATTGGGTACCCACGGCGGACTCAAATGGGACCTCGCCATCCCTGGGCGGCTGCGATCTGTGAAATTGTCGCCACTTTCGAGGCCTGCTTTCGGGGCCCAGCACAGTGGGTACCCACGGCGGACTCAAATGGGACCTCGCCATCCCTGGGGGGCTGCGATCAGTGAAACTGTCGCCACTTTCGAGGCCTGCTGGGGGGCCCAGCACAGTGGGTACCCACACGCAGATTCAAATTAGACCTCGCCATCCCTGGGGGTCTGCGACCTGTGAAATTGTCGCCACTTTCGAGGATTGCTGGGGGGCCCAGCACAGTGACGCCACACGCAGATTCAAATTAGACCTCGCCATCCCTGGGGGGCTGCGATCTGTGAAACTGTCGCCACGTTCGAGGCCTGTTTGCGGGGCCCAGCACAGTGACGCCTCCCAAGTAGCTTACACATCAAGTTGATTGTCCGTACAAGTTTCGGCCAATTCCTCGTTTCCATTGATACAAATGGGTCGGGTACGTCACAGGGTAATTTTTTGAGGGCGAACCCCTAAGATTGTCATCGCCTTTTGGCGTGTCAATCTGAGGGATAGGGATACGTTCGAGGCTGGTAATCTTACGCAGACCCCCTCGGGTCATACATCGCGGCGGGAGGTTTTGTGCGCTGTCTTCGGCCTCCGGCGGCCCTCGCCGGGCCCCTGGACCGGCAATAGAAACGACGCGTGGCGAAGCGCCGGTCCTCGGGCAGGGGTCCAGGCCTTTGTCGGGAGGGGAAAAGACACACAGACGCAAGTAATCGTCGGCTCCCACGAAGAGCTGGGGAAACATGGGGAGCGGGGGGGATGAGACGACACTCCAGAAAATATTGTATAATATGGGGAATCCGAAGATTTCAGTGGGTATTGTGTGTCCCTGGGCCCCCTCGCTCCGGAGGTCAACGTTGTGATACATCATGACGTCTGGGGTCTGGGCTCGTGGCCCGTGCTCGTGGCCGGGCTGCTCCTGCGCGCGGGCGCCGAGCTGGCGCGGGCAATGCCCTCGGTGGGCCGCGGCTCCGCCGGCGGGCGGCTCGGCCCGGCGGGCGGCAGCGCCTCCGCGCGGGGGGGGGGCGAGGTGCCCCACTGCCTGCCTGCGCCCCGGCGCGGTCGTCTGCGCCTCGGAGAGGTTCAGAAGGGGAAAAAA